AGAGAGAGAGAGAGAGAGAGAGAGAGAGAGAGAGAGAGAGAGAGAGAGAGAGAGAGAGAGAGAGAGAGAGAGGAGAGAGAGAGAGAGAGAGAGAGAGAGAGAGAGAGAGAGAGAGAGAGAGAGAGAGAGAGAGAGAGAGAGAGAGAAGAGAGAGAGAGAGAGAGAGAGAGAGAGGAGAGAGAGAGAGAGAGAGAGAGAGAGAGAGAGAGAGAGAGAGAGAGAGAAGAGAGAGAGAGAGAGAGAGAGAGAGAGAGAGAGAGAGAGAGAGAGAGAGAGAGAAGAGAGAGAGAGAGAGAGAGAGAGAGAGAAGAGAGAGAGAGAGAGAGAGAGAGAGAGAGAGAGAGAGAGAGAGAGAGAGAGAGAGAGAGAGAGAGAGAGAGAGAGAGAGAGAGAGAGAGAGAGAGGAGAGAGAGAGAGAGAGAGAGAGAGAGGAGAGAGAGAGAGAGAGAGAGAGAGAGAGAGAGAGAGAGAGAGAGAGCGAGAGAGAGAGAGAGAGAGAGAGAGAGAGAGAGAGAGAGAGAGAGAGAGAGAGAGAGAGAGAGAGAGAGAGAGAGAGAGAGAGAGAGAAGAGAGAGAGAGAGAGAGAGAGAGAGAGAGAGAGAGAGAGAGCGAGAGAGAGAGAGAGAGAGAGAGAGAGAGAGAGAGAGAGAGAGGAGAGAGAGAGAGAGAGAGAGAGAGAGAGAGAGAGAGAGAGAGAGAAGAGAGAGAGAGAGAGAGAGAGAGAGCGAGAGAGAGAGAGAGAGAGAGAGAGAGAGAGAGAGAGAGAGAGAGAGAGAGAGAGAGAGAGAGATTATATATATATATATATATATATATATATATATATATATATATATATATATATATATATATATATATATATATATATATATATATATATATATATATATGATATATATATATATGTGTGCATGTGTGTGTGGTGTGTGTGCGTGTGTGTGTGTGTGTGTGCGTGTGTGTGTGGTGTGTGTGTGTGTGTGTGAGTGTGTTGGGATATGACAGAAGCAGTTTCATTAGTTTTTTATGCCTTATTAAGAGAGTGTTCCACATTTGTACGGGATTTTGAACTCGTGTGGCCATCTGAAGACCATTGGTTACATTCATAGCCTCAAGTTCATACGACCGAAACCCTTCTAGTTTCTGAGCGACACGCTCGCGAACATGTGCTGAATATTTCGGGGAGGGGTATTTCAAGGTCACTCAGGCATGCTTGTAACCATAATAACGCCATTTATTTCCTGGCATTCCAGCGTCATGCAGCGATCAAGGCCAAGAAAAGTTGAAGTTTCGAGTCGTCCATATTTGAAGCTCGTGAGCACGATTTCCAGATATGCCGGCCGCCAACTGGCTCTCAATCAATGTTTTGCAAGATGTGATGACGTCATCAAACAGTGACGTATTGAGGGGCATATTTACTCAACAGATAAATTGCGTTGCCTAGAGAACTCTTTTTCTCTTAAAAAGCATGCCATTAGTTTTAAATGAACTTATTTCATCGTGTCTGATCCAGTTTCAATATTTTTTAAATGTAGAACATTCCCTGTTATGACGGTCAGGGCGTACCGCGCGCTGATGGCAACGGCAGCAGCGAGCACCTTGTGCGGAGCACATTACAAATGCTCTTGAAACGGAACACGCCATAAGGTAGGCGTAAGGCATCTAGCAGCTGACCACAGGCGGCAACACCGCGACAAAGTGTCATGATATTAATATCATCCTTGCATTATTCGCTAGAGTGTCATTGCGTTGCTGGCATTTGGCGAAATGCGTCGTGATAGACGCAGCCGCTGGTGCGTACCTGTTGACTTCAAGGAAGCATACGCTTTAGAGACCGGCAGGGCGATGGCATAAACACCATGGACAAGTACACAAATGATTCGTACCAAAGAGGCACCACCTGCATGACATGGAGAAATAATACTTCGCGAAAAATATAATGGCATTTGCAGCTACAAACACCTATGGTATATAACCAGACCCACGCCGAAAAGAGGGCTTACACATGGATGCGAATGTCTAATTACGAAAATGATGACGAATGACGCAAGGTGTGCCTTTTCACCCGACCTTGTCTGGGACTTTTAAAGCTTGACGTTATTCATACTACGTAATTGTGAGTGCAGGTGGCATATCATGCGTCTAAGAGGCTACGTGACATCAAACATCTGTATGACGAGCATGGTTGTGCGGATCAGATGTGGCAGAAAAGAACAGTATATTGTAAAGCGCGTTGCATGTTGTTACTACGCTTTGTATGGTAGATGACCGCCCCGTTTGGTAGTTAACCTGCCAGATGGAGCAAAGCGATTTTGAACACCCTTGGTATGCGCTCGGGCGGGAGTTAATTTGACCCCCAGAAAAATTTTTTTCCGGAATGATTTCCGAACGGCACGGCGTAGCCATGCCAAATTTCTGTAGGCATTTGAAAAGCGGATCGTGTAGTATCAAAAATTTCGATGCGTCTTGTAAGGTCGCTGATCTGTGGCAGGTCAAAGTCAGGTCATAGATTCAGCGAAGTCAGTTTCTAGGTAATCTTTCAATCTTACGCAACAACGGAGTGTTAGACGAAGCCATACATCTATGAGATACTTTTATAGGCAACACAGCAATTGAATGAGCAAATTATATTAACCTAGGTCAGGGTGAGGGTTAGACCAAGGTCGAAATAAACCTTTTTTTATTACTCTAAGGCTTACTGTTAGTTTTTGCTGTTAGTTAGGGGGTAGTTTCTGGTGCTTATTTTAAATTTCTTGGCAGCAGGAACGACGGCATAATATTCCATGGAATTGTTAAAGTTCAGAATAGGTCACTGACCAAGAATGACTCAGATCAACATTTTTATAAGGAGCATACTGCCTAGCGTAATCTTTTCCACTCATTCAAATGCAAAACGCAAAGCAGTCTGGTATGATTTGTGTCACCATAAGCTTCAGAAGGTCAAAAAACGTTACTGACCTTAAACAGGCATGTCACCTCTTACTTAGAACAGGTATCTAAGTTCTGAGGGAACTTTGGGCACTAGCCTGACGTTTAATTTCGTTTGACCTTATTTGACCCGAACGTCATGACCTAGGAACCTCAAACTTTTGCGTAAGTAGGTTCAAGTACAGGCCAAGACACGCTCTTAAATTGGTGGTCTCTCCACCTCTCTTAGTTGCTGAGATCTCAGGCGGGTCAATTGACCCCCACCCGGGCGAGGGTATCCAAAAAGCCATCTGGACGCATGCTAAACGAACCATGCAACAAGAGCAGAGGTTAGCCATCTGGCGACAGCACTACAAAGATCATCAACATGATGTATGATGGGAAGATAAAAAGACGTAGAGTCTGTGGTAGGTCGCGAACAGCAGAAGAGCATTTCCACACGTCACTTCGGCACTCCATCTCGTATCGCACCAACGTTCAGCGAAGCAAGTGTGCAAATGCCTGCTTCGTCTGCTCTGGTCAAGAAACAACACCATGTTCCCTTATTGTTGGACTGCAGCTCGCAGGTCGTTCCATCCTAGCGCGGGCAGCTTTCCAGCTGCCATTCTGGCGGCACGGGGGGCGGGGATCCCCTGGTCGATCCGGAAGTCCTTAATGGACACGTTATGTCACATTGGTCGCCGCCCTGGCGCGGGAGGCCTTCTGACCCGCGAGGTCAGTCCTGGATCAACGCGGGAGCCCTCGTCGACGCAACAGCATCTCTGATCGCCGCAGGTAGTCCAATAATTGGCACATCTATTCTAGTTCCGCTTAACACACCCATGATTGACATTGGGCTAGACGGCCCACCGTTCGGCACTGGGGACCCTGACTGACACAGGGCCCTTCCATGGTCTCAATGTGAACTGTTATCGCAAGTTCGCATGCTCTCTTTCACTGTCAAACGGCTCTGATCAACGCGAGAGGCCCTCTAGCATTCGGGGTCAGTCCCGTCCCGTCCCTGTTCAGCAAATGGTCCCGTAAGCGACTCGAGACCCTTGACACACGACAAGTTGTTAGGCTTTGTGGGCCCGTGACTGACACAGGAGCCCAGCCATTGTTTCAGGGACCCAGACCAATGCAAATCGTGGGCCCCGTCCTGCTCCTGCTTGGCAAATGGGCCTCGGTGTTTTAGACCGACACGGAGCGAATTGTTCGGTGTTGGTGGTCTCTGGTCGGTTATAAACGCCCCACATTGTCTCGCCGGGTCCTCAATTGCTGAAAGAGGCCCTCTGACTGATATTTCAGGTCACAGGCTGCTGTCATATATGTGACCTTAAGCCAGCCCTTCAAGCCCCTTTACCGTCCAACCGGGCCGTTGATCGTGGGCGCTCGGGACGCTCTTCGGGCCCGTCAGACACTGCTTTTGGTTGGCCCCAGGGACACCATACCAACGCAGGATTCCCTGTTAAGCGATGTGGGCCCCGACAGGTACAGGGGCCCCGGTTAATGTAAGTCGCGGGGCCGGTTTTGTCCCTGCGTGGGAAGTGAGCCCTAAGGCTCATACCAACACGGGGTCGGCTGTGCGGTATTGGTGGTGCATGATCGACGTATGGGTCCATATTCACTCAGGGGGTCCCCCGAACAGTGCACAGGATCCTCTGGCTGGCATTGGATTGCTCGGCCTAGCGGGCTGTGGCCCCTAAACACAAACTTCGGCCGGCCTTTCGGGCCCTCAAATCGGGCCCTTACTTGTTGGTCCCGAAGAAGGCCTTTTGGGCCTCTCAGCCCTAGGGAGGATGACACGTGCCCCCTGTTTTCAATTATTGGTGCTTTTGTAGCCTTTTCGGTGATTACATTCGGTTTTGAGGTGCCATGACATATATCAAGACTAAGGTTCTCCCAAAGGAATACAAGGCTCCATACATGCAGCCAGCTCGCCTTCACTATACCGCGCCAAACATGGCAAATCTCCATGCAGACTGTATTTGGTCCTCGATGACTAGAAACGTTACAAACACACTGAACACTCGCCAAACACCTATGCAAGCACCTGTATGCAACTGACAGCGAAATTGACGGCTTAGGCGCCACAATGTCGGCATTGGTCCCGTCCCTGCGCCACAGAAGGACGCAAGGCAACTTCACCTCGCACGTCTTTGGTCGGGCGGTCCCGGCAACTCCCCCGCTCAGGTCGCCATGGTCTGGACCCCTGCTCCGCCGCCGTGGCCGAGCTCCGGACCCGGTCCGGTCCCGTTCTCAGTGGTCGTCCTCGGGTTCAGCGGCCGCTGCCGCTGCCGGGTCCGCTGCGGACGAGCCCCGACGTAGCCGGCCGCTCCGCTGCGGCGAGGCGCTGAAGTAGTTGCGGAACGCGCCGTGCAGGATGGCGGCGCGCTGCAGCTCGTCCTCCCTATGGAAAAGGGGGAGAGGGGGGGGGACAATGCTCGGCGCGGCTGGTGCCGAGATCTCAGCCCCACCAGAGTCGCTGCAGCTGTTGGACCTGCGTGAGAACAGCGGCCGCAATCTTGCAGCGAACAGATGATGTGGTGAAGGCACCACACAATTTCGAGACCAATAAACGCGCGGCGACCCTGGCATCTTAGTCGTTCTCGATTACAGTGATGTTCTTGTGGTCGATACAAAGCGATTGATGCAAAACTGTGAACTGTTGATAACCACCCTGTCGTGTGGCTTTAATTCCGTTCATTCGATATCTCACGCCTCCATTGTGACGCTATCCCTACGTCCCACCTTCAAGTCGGTCCGATTCGCTGGATGCCCAGAACCAATCGAAAACGTGCGACTCGACAAGGCATACAGCGTACGCTGATCATACCACGAATCGTATCATGTGCGGCATATTGCGAATTCCGTTCCAAGATGCTTAATGTTGTGACTAAATTGTGGTTTATCCACGACTTCACTGAACGCAAACTTAAATTGCCGCTATTTTCCTATAGACAAAACCCAACGACAATAACAAAACTGCTAATCGACATAACCCACTTATGGTATGGAACAAACGGACCGGATGTTAGCACTGGATGTTTTCCCTCAAGGTCACGGTCTAACCCCATATCAGCTGAAATTTTCCCAGAACCCAGATAAGTCGGAAAAAGAAATTATAAACTGACGCAGTTAGCAAAGTAATCGAGGTATCCAACACCTCCCAAAAATATAATAACAACTGAGGTTGTCAGGGCGCGCAGCCTGCCTTGGTCATTTCGTGCTGCGCACACTCCTCATTAACAACCGAGGAGCTGGTGACATCAGTATAAAGAAAGAAACATCGCTCGAAGACTCCCGGCCTGCGTTAGCATTCCAGAAAAACAAAAACAAAAAACGAAAACTAGCCAATATCTCCCGGACAAGGGTGCGGTGAACAGCGTCCGTAACTCGAGCGGGCACCGCGAGCTGCCACGGTCCCAGTCCGCCGTCACGTACTTGTTCCTCATGATCTCCGTCTCCCGACGCTTCAGCTCATCGCGCAGCCTTCTGACGTCGTCGCGGTGCCGTCGCGTCTCCTTCTCCAGCTCCTCCTCCCGCCGAGCCAGCTGGGAGCGCGTCTGGCCACACGGGTCGGGACACAGTCACGTGTGCGAACCGACAACGGTCATTGGTTGGGCGGCGCCACTCGCTACGGAATGCGACCATTGACATCGCACACCGCGAGGCAACGGGTCCAGGCGAGGACGCACGCTGGCTCCGTCTTCTACCAGGCCGTGAATGGACCGGGCAATGCATTTCGCACGTTCCGACAAACAGCTTCCGGCCCGAGTTCACGTCCGGGTCACTGACCTCTTTGAGAGTCTTCTCCGTCTGCTGGTGCAGCGCCTTCGCAGCTCGATGCCGTCCAGCTCGGCCTGCAGCTCGGTCCTGACTCTGGCCACGGCTCCCTGGACCTCCCTCTGCTTCAGCTCCACCTCCTGTTGGACGCCATGCTATCGGTCAGTTCCACTAGTCAGAGACGGGGCATTCACAGACAGGCCATCGGGCCATCCAACTCCTAACGAGCGACACCAGAAGATCGTGCACCACCGACAATAAGGCTCCACGCAAAACCGCCATTACCTTGGCGCAGCCATCATCATCATCATCATCATCATCATCATCATCATCATCATCATCATCATCATCACGATACCGCCACCAACGACCGCGCGCGGTCCAAGCTGATCCAGAACTGTTAAAGGCAAGATACATTTGCGGGAAGTTCGGGCCGTTATCGGACCGGGCTGGGTCCCCATGGCGGTGTGTCGGCCGGGTACAGTTGGACCGCGCCGCCCACGAAGGTCCTCCACCGCCGTCACCTTGGTGAGGCACTCCACCTCGGAGCGGAGCGTGCGGGCGTCCAGCTCCAGCTGGTGCGTCTTGCCCTGCAGCCGCTGATTGGCTGTCTCCAGCTGGTGCCTCTCCTGGCCGGCCAATGCCAGCTGCGAGTGGACGTGGTCAACCTGGGCCTGCAGAGTCTGGCAGCGGTCGTCCTGTAATGGACGGGCCAGTCTCCTTACAGGTAACCAATCACCAAACGCCTCGCAGCATTGGAAATAATCCATATAAATTGTGTCCGTGTTCCTCTTCAGCATCGAACCTCGGTTAGTGGCTTGGACAGTGACACGTGCAAACCGCAGATGCCGACATCACGCACATTACACATCTTCCGCAGCACTGATATCTGTCAGCTCTCAGCAGCGCCTGCCACGGCCGTGGCGTGACCTGCCAGCGCCGCGCCAGGCGTACCTCCTGCTGCTTCAGTCGCAGCCGGAGCGCGGCCAGCTCCTCCTGGTGCTCTCGGGAGACGGTGTACAGCCGCTGGCCGGCCTCGTGCAGCTGCGCCTCCAGAGCTGCCCTCTGCTCGTCACCCAGGCGCAGCTGGGTCTGGCAACAGGGGCGGGGAGGAGCGTGAGGGGTGACCCTCTGCTCGCCACCCAAACACAGCTGGGTCTGGTAGCAGAGGCGGGGAGCGTGACGGGTGACCCTCTGCTTGCCACCCAGGCGCAGCTGGGCCTGGCAGCAGCGGCGGGGAGCGTGATGGGTGACCCTCTGCTCGCCACCCAAACACGGCTGGGTCTGGAAACAGGGGCTGGGAGGGGCGTGAAGGGTGACCGCCTGCTCATCACGCAAACGCAGCTGGGTCTGGCAGCAGAGGTGGGGAGCGCAAGGGGTGACCCTCTGCTCATCACCCAGGCGCAGCTGGGTCTGGCAGCAGAGGCGGGGAGAAGCGTGAGGTGTGATCCGATTCAGCTGGGCCAGTTAACAGCAGTAAAGGAGGCTGAAGGTTACAGGTAGTCTGCTCATAATAAGACAAGGGTGGAATCTGTCAAGATTGGCAGAGCATGAGTGCGTAAGCTCGTCCCCCAAACGCAGATCGGTTCATCAAGAGATCACCTTCAGTGACAAGAGGTCTTCAGGGGAGGGGGGATGGAGTCACCATGGTGACAGTGACAGCCGAGCCAGGCTTCTCCTGTGGTGACGTCAGCAGTCACGCGCGTCGGAGCACACCTGCAGGTTGGCGGCGGCGGCCGTCGCCTGCTCCTTGACCTTGGCCAGCTGGCTCCTGCGCTGCTCGTCGGCCGCCTCGGCCTCGGCGCGCCACTTCAGCTGCTCCCGCTCGGTGGCCGCTGGTGACACCGGTCAGAGCGGGTCAGGGGTCGACTGGCGACGGTGGCAGGTGGCGACCTAGCTGCCGACGCAAGTCGGCTGATCGGCCAGCAATGCACGGACACCCGCCAGCTGATCCCTCTCACCGCCGCGCCCTACCCTGACTCGCGGCGCTCGCGCCAGCAAACTGTGGGATGATACTAAACGGCCTCCGAAGATAGCAGCCCACCAACCCACCCCCGGGGCCTCACAAGGTCCACTGCTCTCAGAGGCGCATACGTTCCCCACGCACGGGCGCATCGCCAGTTACATTCGTCCCCCGCGAGGGTCCGGCCCCATCCGATCCCAGGGAGGGCCTTCCGCCCACTGACCTTGGACGTCGTCCCGGAGCGAGCCGACCAGCGTCTGCAGCCGAAGCCCGTCTGCTGCAGCCGGTCGGCCCTGGCGGCCTGCTCGGCCAGCTGGCGCTCGGCCTGCAGCCGCAGCTGGCGCTCCTCGGCCAGCCGCCGCTCCAGCTCCGCCGCCTGCTCGCTGTGCTTGCTGCTCCGCCCGCTGCGCCGCCTGGTGGCGTCACATCACATCCCGTCAGACAGGATGAGGGCGCTTGGTGACGTCAGACATCACTTATGTCAGGTCCCAAGCAGACGTCCCAGCGGGGTTGGCGTGTTATCCGGTTGCTTCCAGAGGACTCGGAGGGAAGAGAGATGCAGAGCGCGCTCACTCCAAGCTGAAGTACACATGACCGTACACAAACATCCCATCACACCGAAACTAGCCACATCCACGCACCTCTTTATGCTGTTCCTGCTCCTGTTTCCGTGTGGTGTTCACGGAGGCCAGCTCGGCCCGGCAGCTTGTCAACTCCTCCTCCAGTTCCGCCCTGGTGACGAAGTGTTTTTGGTTGCCAGTGAGATTATGAGGCCAAACTCGGCGGCATTCGTAACGGCTGTTAGTGTAAGATACCAGCTAGCCCCCACCTGTCCTTCTCCGTGGTCTCCAGCTTGGCAGTGGTGGCAGACAGTTTGGAGGTGAGAAGCTGGGCGGCTGCCTTCCGTTCCTCTAGCGCCTCCTGAAGCTGACCCAGCTGGGAAGGTCAGGTCACTAAAACAAAGCGGAGAAATTGTCTACATAATATGATGCACGTTCACGCTAGCTGGCAGCGACTTTTGTCTATAACGTTGCTGGGTGTCCAAGCTGCATAAAAGCCGGCATCACAACACTTTTGGAGTAAAACGCTGGGAAAAATCACGACTGACTCTGATTTCGCTGATCTCAGACTATCCACCTCGGCCTGTCAGCCAACTTGTGAGTCAGGGACGCTCACGGCTTGAGAATTTACATGTATCTCAATCAGTACCATCAGCTCTTATCTAGCAAATAGGGAATCCCTTCCTTAGAACTGCGTTAAGTATACGGAAAAAACAATGGCCTTCCTATGTACCGAAATCGCTGACTTTCCATACCAAGGCCAGCGTACACGGCCGGCGCGCTGGGCCAAAAGGTGCCGGTGCGGGGGACAGTAACACTCACGCCTGGACTCCTGAGAAGGACGCCCGCTCCGTCTCCAGAGTCCGGAACACTCCATCCACCTGGCGTCCACAGCTCTGTACAGGGAGCTCTGTGCGAGTGTCTGGACATTCACCTGAACATCCACGGAAGTCGTGGGCGGGCACGGCACGTCCGCAATGCCCGCACCGCTCAGCCGCACGCTACGCCCACGAATCGAACACCCATGGAATGTGAGTGACACACGGAATGTGAGAACACCACGGATGTGAGTGATGTGAGCATCAGCTCACGTCACTCACATCGAGTCCACATATGACCAGCTCGGCTCCACATGAACGTCACTCATATAGATTCACAGCAATACAGTCCAAGAACGGAATATTTGTCTCACCGCCGACAAGAAATCCTCACTTCCCAGTGCAGTTGCCTAACAGACATGTGTACGGCGATCAACTTTTCTATCGGCCTCGACACGCGGTCGTGCCGCAGGCGATGTGCGACAGGGCGGGCAGGCTACGGCCGAACGTTAGGCGCCCGGCAGGGTCTCACCTGAATCTGCGCCGTCAGGAGGGAATGCGCTCGGTCGCCTGGTGCCGCCTCCGACTCCAGTAGCTCTGGTTGTTGCGGACCCGGAGAGCTGTAACAGCCACGACACGGGTCTGACACCCCGAACAGCTGATGCGGAGTGACACGGGTCTGACCACCCCGGACAACACAGAGGCAGAGGAGACACGGGTCTGACACCCCGGACAGCAGAGGAGGAGAGACGCGGGTCTGACACCCCGGACAGAGGCAGAGAGATACAGGTCAGACACCTGGATAGCAGAGGCAGAGAGACACGGGTTCTGACACCCCGGACAGCAGAGGCGGAGAGATGTGGGTCTGACCCCCAGACAGCGGCAGGGAGACGAAACACGGGTCTGACATCACGGGCAGCACAGGCGAAGAAGACACGGGTCCGACACCCCAGACCACAGAGGCGAAAGACACGGGTCTGACACCTCGGACAGAGGCAGAAAGACAAGGGTCTCACACCCGACAGCAGGGGAAGAGAGACACGGGTCTGACACCGCAGCACGTCTCCACAGCAGCAGCCGGACATCTCACCGATGGCCTGGCGAGGGTCGGGCGGCAGGGCGTTACCGTCCACCGGACACGAGGTCAGTAGTGACCTGTTGGCCTGCAGGGCGTCGACCAGGCTGCGGCCAGCCGCCAAGCACGCCCACGCCGTTCCAGCGCAGGTCTGGGGGCACGACGGACGTGTGGTGCTAACATGCGGCGTCTCCGCACTAAAGGCAACGGGCGGTTAACACCCCGCGTGTCGGAGCAGATGGCAGACAGACGGGCCGGAACGCTCGATCGCATGCAGCGCCCGACGACAAGACCGAGGGGCATCGAATCTAGCATCTCTGACTTGACCCAGGCCAAGCCCGCCGTATCAGCGTGGGTATTTCGTTAGCCATCACCCGTGACCGATATGGCACACACCGAAAACAATTTACAATATGTAATTATGGATCATGGAACAACCCGCACAGTCCCACCTCAAGCAACGATGGGCGATGATAGGCACCCGAACAGGGGACATGCAAGCACGCATGCATGCAAATATTCGGCAGGCATATGCGGAGAGAATGACGGTGACCATATCGTGGGGAATGTCGTGGTTGGGCATTGGTTGATTTTTGCGTAAGGATGGCCTACATTTGCCCAGTTAGAGCGCCTGGCCCTTCTCTTCCCCACATCTCCCGCCCATTACCGAGGTGGCTGAGGTGGCGGTTGGAGGCCACGGCGCGCGCCACGTACGCCGCGCACTGGTGGTCCAGCTGGTTGCTGCGCAGGTCCAGCGACGTCAAGCCTCGGTTGGTGCGCAGCGCGTCGGCAAACACGCGGAACGACGGCGGGCTCAGGCCTGCCGACGGCGCGAGACGCGTCCAGATACGCACCTCGCGGCGGCCACGACGCCATCAAAGCGTGGCTGCCGACTACAGAACATGGCGATGTCCCAGCCATCTCTGACAGAAAATGATCATAAGCTACGTGAAAATGAGACACCGTGAGTCTTTTGTAGCAAAGCTAAGCCAGCCATCGTTTGCAACCACTAAGATCGGTATGACCACCTGCGAAAAGCGCCCTTCGTAAAGGGAAAGGTCTCCCCGACACGCACTCGTGCAGCGTGGCGACGTTGGCAGGCGCGGCAGCCAAACGCCTGCGGGCAGCGTCAGGTGACGTGTGCCGACTCACCGAGGTTGTTCCACTCGAGTGTGAGCGCGCGCAGGCGGCCGTTCTTCTTGAGCAGGGTGGCCAGGTGCTCCGTGCCTGGGCCGCGCACGTTGTTACCCCGGAGCTCCAGCAGCTCCACCGATGTGTTCAGGCACAGGCCTAGGCACAGTGCCTGGAGACAGAGGCCGTCAGTGAGCATGAAGAGGCTCAGCAGCCACAAAGCAGAACCAGCGACAGGCCACCAGAAACGGATGCCACGAAGCAAAAAACAAAAACAAAAACAAAACAAACAAACACAACAAAACGGAGTCACAAAGACGACTGGCCTGATCGGATAAGAAGAAGGAACAAAGCACTGTGAATCTATAATTCCACAATTTATACTGCAGCGGCAAAATGCAAATAACGGACGTCGTGCGTTGTAGTTTAGGGAGCATGTTTAGCTGCGTACGGTTGCTGCGACGCCCGAACGTCACTGGAGGCGGACATCTACTGATTCATCTGCGCCCTATCCGCACAGCGCTATGCCACGTCACAGGCGGCGGCGCGCGCGCGGCCCACCTTCAGGGCATCCTCGGAGAGCAGGCAGTCGTTGAGGCAGAGCTGCGTGACGTCGGCTGTGGTGGAGAGCAGGTTGCCGAGCACGGCCGCCTGCTCGGTCGGGACGTCGCTGCCGGACAGGTCCAGTCGCCGTCCGTCCTGCTCACGGTACGGCGGCGCACCGCGCGCGGGACGCCGTTAGCGCCCGGCAAGAGGTGCAGTGTGGTGTGGGACAGCGCCCACTGTGCAATCGACAGGAGAACGGCTGATCATGGGAAGCAGGCATGCCCTACGCTGGTAACCAAAACAGGAATGTGCAGTCAGCCTGCCTAGAAAATATTCATATGGCATATGCTGGATAGAATAAAGTGGTCATGTGTTGGGAATTGACCATGGCAGGGCATAGACCAGTTTTTATGTAAAAATGCAAGCCTAGTTGTGCTGCAAAAAGGACATTCACTTCAACATGAAAGAATGATACTAATTAGACTAAAACCAACACACTATTCAACTCCTCTGCCTTTAGATCTGCTGGACATGACTGTGAACTGTAAAATGGAATTCTTGAACAGAAAGCTGTGTTAAAGACATGCCTGAAAATCAGAACTAATTTTAACTATTTCACAGTTAGAGAATGGAAATGAAGACCTATCATGCATGCTGGGGTGCAAGTGAGTAGCAGCACCCTGCTTGCCATGCACTCTGAAGCCCAACCAAAGGGATCCTGCCATAATCAAAACATAATGAATTGGATTGGGGGTACAGCCAAGGAAGGGGCACAGGTGGCCTGCCCCTCCCCTTCCCACCCTGAGGCCCACATTTTTCACCACAGAGGGCACCTGACAGAAAATCAGAAATTAGGATGATGTAAATTCAACAAGCTCTGGCCCCTCCTGTAAGAAAATCCTGGCTGTACCCCTGCATTGAATTCAGCTGTTTGTGTCAACTCACACATGTGTGTGAACAGTGCAGGGGGTTTATGAACACTATCAGTGCGATTTCCTAATGCAGTCATAGGTGGCAAAGATATGAACCAA